GCTGAGATGCTTACACGTTCACTGACTCGGCTTTCCTCCTATAGTCAGCGTCATTGTGTGTGTTTTGTGAGATGGAGGAGGACTTTGTGGATTGGTGTCAAAGACATATGGGTTAATGTTGGACTTGTGGGCTTGGGCAGCACTGGGTTGGAATGTTTCCTTGGTGCACACTTACCCTTTATATAAAACTCTCTCTTATACATATGAGTTTCTGTGGGTTTGTTTCTCTAAAGTATCCAGACTAACACACACATAAGTGACTGAAGGAGGCCACACAGGAACATATGTATACTTAATTATACAGTTTAAATAAAAACGGGCAACACAGATCTGCATGATTCAAAACCTGGATGGCAGTTACTCTGGGGCTGAGCGGGCTAGTGACTCCAAGTGGCGGGGTGGCTTATAGGGACTCGACAAGATCCCATTTCTGAAGCTGGCAGCTGGCTACACGGTGAGGTCCAGTTTTAGAAAAGGCATCCAGCTGTACACGGATGACTTAGGAGGCATTTCTATATGCCTACTATTTTTCAATTAAAAAAACCAGCAACCTGCTACAAATCCAGAGACAGAAAGTGGATTAGCAGTTGACAGGGACTGGGGAGGTGGGGTAAGAAGTGGCTTGGTGGCAATGAGTTGCTAACTGCAAGGTTGGCAGCTCACACCTACCAGCTGTGCCTTGGGGCACAAACGAGATTAGCTGCTCCTGTAAAGATTTACAACTTTGGACATCCTAGAGGCTCACTACTGTTGGAATCCACTGCATGTTCAGTGGGTTTGGGGAGGCGGACAGGTGTGAGTCTTTTGGAAGGGGCGATGAGAATGTTCTGGACTTAGGAAGTGATGCTGGTTGCACACACTGACATCTGTCAGTTTGTTGTACACTGTTGGTGTTGGCGACGTGCAGGTTGCCTTGATGCTGGAAGCTGTACCGTAGGTATTTCAAATATGGTAGGCAGCTTGCGCTGGGTTTCCAGATGAAGACATGTGCAAGAAAGGCCTGGCAATCTACATCCAAAAAATGAGCCAGTGAAAACCCCGTGGGCCACAAGAATACTGCCCAATGTCGTGCTGGAAGAAGACCACTCTAGGTTGGAAGGCAGAAAATCCAGTGGCTGCAACAATGAACTTGAGCACAGTCATGATCGGAGACCACGCTGGGCAATGGGTCTGCTGGACGTGAGGTCACCATGGGTTAGAGCCAGCTCCAAAACACAGCAAAGATCCTGGGGCATGGAGAGCCACAAATCAAGAGATCCTGGGTCCCAACAACATCTCAGCTTGGACACCTGCCTGGAGGTGGCTCAAACTAAATAAAAAACCCCAAACATTCACTGCCATCCAGCCCATTCTGATGCATTGCACCCCTAGAGGGCAGGGGAGAACTGCCCCTGTGGGTTTCTAAGCCTGTAAATCTTTTTTTTTTTCCTCCCACCTTCACACTACCCTCCTGGTATTACTACTAAATTTACTGTTCTGACGGGTTTATCTTGCCTGTAAATCTTAACGTCTTTACAGCAACACTTCTTCAGAGTGGCTGGTGGGTTTGAACTGCTGACCTTCTGGTTAGCAGCTTAACTCGTGACTCACTATGCCACCAGGGCTCCTTAGTGAGAAATAAATTTCTATCTTCCATCAGCTATTACCTATTGGCTCGATTTGTTGCAGGGCTTAGCGTAACGCAGCCTAACATAGAAATCACTGGAAAGGGGGGCACTAAAGCAAAGCTGCCAACAATGCTCACTCGGGAAGCACTGCATGAGACCCCATGCCGCAGGACCAGGGACACAGAGAGACAGGCCGGGAGTCCATGGGGTTCATGAGACTGGTAAGCAACGGCGAAAACAAAGGCACCACCATTGAGTCAATTCCAACTCGAGGCAC